AACCTGACGGCGACCGTACCAGTCGTGCAGCTGCTGTGGAGTGAGAGGCACACGCGAACGAAGGCGGCCACGCCAAGGGGACCGCACAGCAGCAGTCTCAGAACCCTCAAGTGTCTCACCTCAAGACTCAGCACCCCCAGACTCCGCACACACAGGCTCAGCACCCCCAGACGCAGCACCCCCAGACTCAGCACCCCCAGGCGCAAGGCCTCCAGTCTCCTCACACGCAGGCTCAGCACCCCCAGACTCCGCACACACAGGCTCAGCACCCCCAGACACAGCACCCCCAGTGGCAGCACCCCCAGAAGCACCGCCCACAATAGCACTAGAGTCAACAGGAACCGGTGGCAGAGGCGGTGAGGAAGGTCGTGGAGGGAACCCCGGAGGGGTCTCCAAGCGGGGAGCGCGGCGGGAGGCCGTCGGGGCGTCAGCAGCAACGTCACCCCCCTCGGGTGGGCCAGAGGTGTCGGAAGTGACCTCCAAAGGCTCAGCCAAGGGGGGGGGGGTCTACCTGAGACACACCTGAAGGAGCAGGACCCTGAGGGGGGAGGGGGTCTACCGGGGGGGGACCTGGCGCAAGGAAAAGCGGTAGGGGCGGCACGGGGGCAGCGCGGTACGGGAAGAGACGGTAGTACGGAACCGACTCGTCAAACGTGACCACCTGGGAGGACAGAACACGACGCGAGGTGGGGTGGTAGAACTGCCAACCAGGCGCGTCAGGGGGGAAGCCAAGGAAGACGCAGGGAACAGCACGGGAGGACATCTTGTCCGCAGACAAGTCTCGGACAAAAGCCCGAGATCCCCAGACACGAAACGCAGACGCATCGCCAACCTTCCCCGTCCACCGCAGAGTGGGGGAGGTGTCCGGGATGGAGACCCGGGGCTGAAGGTTGATCTGACGCGCCGCGTACTGAACCGCAAACGGCCACAGAAAATGGGGAGCAGCCGCATGGATCATGGACGTACGAGCGACGTCCATGACCATGCCAATGCGGCGCTCAGCAATCCCATTTTGCTGTGGAGAGGCCGGAAGCGTAAACCTCTGGCGAATGCCCCTCGCACGACAGAAAGCTCGCAGAGGGCCGGAGGAAAACTCCCCACCTCTGTCGGAGTGCAGACGCAGAACAGGAAAGTCCGAGCCGAAACTCTTCCTGAGCTGGAGACGAGCAGTGCGGATCCAGTGGATCAACACCTCAGTGACCTCATCCTTGCGGCGCAAGGGGAAGACTGCGGTGTAACGCGAGTAGTCGTCAACCACCAGGAGGAAGTAGCGCTCATGACCCTGTCCACGGACGCGGGCAGGGCCCCACACGTCCATGTGGAGAGTCTGCAGCGGAGCCTCTGTCGGCGGAAACTCGGAGGAGTGAGGAGCGGCGCGCTGCCGCCCCTCGACGCAGGGAACGCAGGTAGGGGCAGGCCCCGGAGGGAGGGGAGGGAGGGACCGGGGGAGACCAGAGACAAGGACACGAGAGGCCATGCCTCGGAGACGAGGCAGGGAGGGGTGACCAAGACGGTGGTGCCAGAGAAGAGTCTCGTGGGACAGGAGGCGACACGAGCAGGGGGCAGACTCAGGACCAGACCGAGACGCTGCAGCAAACACCTGACCCGACGCAGCTACCTGACCAGGAACAGCAACCGGGGGAGACTCGGTAGTCAGTGTGTACAGGCTCGACCCCGGCCGACGAGTAAACGTGGCCAAGTGTCGGCCCGTGTCAGCACACGTGCAGTGGGTCACCCGCTGACGCGCAGGAGTGAACTGGTCAACTCCCCCATCCTGTAGGTCAGCACCCGCCACCAAGTTCGTAGAGAACGAGGGGAGGTAAAGACCGGACAAGGAGCCAGACGGGACCGCTGGACACGGCAGGACAGTGGAGTAGTGAGCAAGGACAGGACCCCCAGAGGGGTCTGCCAGGGAGACCGCAACCGGCCGACTGAGCGGCGTAAGAGTGGTGCGGTCTCGAAAGAAGGAGCGGGAAGCACCCGAGTCAAGGGTGAAAGTGTGCGACGCCTGAGCAGACGTGGTACCTGAGAGAGCAGACTCACCAGCACCTGGAGCAGCAGACTCACTAGCACCTGGAGCAGCAGACTCGCTAGCACCTGGAGCAGCAGACTCAGTGGCACCTAGAGCAGCAGCTGCACCGCCCGGGTCGGGCGGAACACTCAGATAACTGTCACCGTCGTCACTAGTAGATATAACATACATGGCAGCAAGGATAGCATCATAGTCAAGATCAAAGATAGCAACGCCCGACCTAAACAGATCATGCTTGCGAGGGAGCTCAGTGGCGTCAGGGAACCGGAGACGCCAGGCGTCTGTCAGGCGGCCGAAGCAGCGCTGAGTGGTGTGCGAGCCTCACACTGCTCCCCAGTGCGGTCACCAGTACGGAAGAAGTACGTACAGGGACCAGCACCCCCAGGCCGCTGACGCCCAGCGTACCACTGGTGAAGTTGCTAGGGCAGCGGGGCCTCACGAGAGCGCTGCTGCTGCTGACGCTGTCCACCACCGGAGCCTCCCCTCTGCACCGAGCCACCCCGACCAGCGCCACCGCCACCACCGCCACTGCCTCCTCCGCTGCCACCGCCGCCACCGCCACCTCCTCCACTCCCACCGCCGCCGCTGCCGCTGTCTCCGCCTCCACCGCCGCCACCAGAGCCCCCACCCCCGCCCCCACTGCCACCTCCACTCCCACCCCCCCGGCCGCCTCCACCGCCATCACCACCACCCCCGCCAGCTCCTCCAGCACCCTTGCCTCCCTTGCCCTTGCTGTTGCGGCGCCTCCCGCCAGGGGCAGACGCAGCGCCGACAGACTCAGTGCCAAGGAGGTCGACAGCAGCAGCAGAGGCAACAGAGGGCAAAAGGGGAACAGGGGAGCACCCCTCAAAGATAGGGGTACGAGGGTCACCGCGAGAGGCTCCTACAGCGGCTATACTCTGCTCAGCTGCAAGGAGCTCCTTCGCGAGGAGGTCAACGGTGAGAGTGGTAGGGCAGACAGCAAGGAAGTGGTCCCTGACTGAGCGAAGGGAGTCAGGGAGGCGGGTGACTAGGTAGTAGAGGGTGATATACATGGGGGGGGGGGTTCTTGGCGCAGAACTCAGCAGGAAGCGCAGCGCGGTAGCGAGTGTCACTAGTGCGGAGGTGTGTAATGAGGTCAGCGACTGTAGCAAAGGTAAGCGGCTAGGTCTGGGAAAAGGTAGGGGAGCATGATGCGGCTAAGGGCAGCAGAGGCAGGGGAGGAGTAGCGCGCAACGACAGCATCGAACAGGGTCTTAGCGGTCTTAAACTGAGTGAAGTGCGCACGCTCAGCAGACGGCAGGTGACTACGCACAGCAAGGCGGGCAGCAGCATCGCGGGTGTTCCAGCGCGAGCGAACAGTAGCATCAGCATCAGCAGCAGGGGGGGGGGGGAAGCACCAGACGTGAGGTCATGCAGACAGTGAGACATCGTCTTTGCTGTCACACTGCAGGAACAGCTGCAAGTCATCGAGCCAGACCTCAAAGTCTATCGCACGACCCTCAGCATCGAAGGTAAGAACAGCAGGGCTAGCCATGGATGCAGGCAGAGCAGGCTAGCAGCAGCAATAGGGGCACAGCTCGGCGATGCGCTTACCAGGGGCGGGCTGGAGAAGCCCGCGAGCGGTGGGCAGGGCTGAGGTGCTCAAGCAGGGTCAGGGCCGCGACAGGGCGGCAGAGCAGGGCCGGGACGGCGGCGGCGGCTGTCACAGCATGGTAACAGCGGTAGCAGCTGTCACGGCAGCGGCGGCGGCCGTTGTAGAAGGAGCAGCGGCGGCAGCGGCTGTCACGGCAGGAGAGGCGGCGGCCGTCAGCGACGGCGGCGGCTGTCAGCGGCGGCGGTCGTCACAACAGCTGCGGCGGCGGCGAAGGGCCGTGGCGGAAGCGGCAGTGGCGGCAGGTGCGACGGCGGCTGCTGCTGAGGCTGCGGCGACGGGGCGGCAGGGCGGCGGCAGCTGTTCGCGACGAGCTGCGGATGAGGCCGCTACGGGCCTAAGAGGGGGCCGCGACGGGCCTAAGAGGGGGCCGCGACGGGCCTAAGAGGGGGCCGCGACGGGCCTAAGAGGGGGCCGCGACGGGCCTAAGAGGGGGCCTCGACGGGCCTAAGAGGGCGCCGCGACGTGCCTAAGAGGGGGCCGCGATGGGCCTAAGAGGGGGGCCGCGAAGGGCCTTAAAGCCAGGGTCTCAAGTACTACGAGTGTTTTGCAGTTGCTGTTGAAAGTTGGGCTGTGATTGGTTAGCGAAGTAGAAGGGTTGAAGTGGGTTGAAGCTAGGGGTGCGAAGCAAACTCAAATCGCTGGTTGTACCCAAACCTTCTAGGCTTGGAAACTTGGCTCGGAGCCAAACCTAAAATGCCCCCAACTCATCGAAAGTCTCAAGTACCCAAAAGTGTTGTGCAATCGCTTCTGGGGATATGACGGGGTGTGTCGCAAGCTGTTTTTTCAACCCAACCAGAGAGAACTTCGTCTGCAATATCTAGGTAACCTAGCTTCAACTGCTTTGCAGTTGACGGCTCCTCAGCTTACTTGAGACCCTGGCTTTAACGGGGCAGGCCTCTAAGGGGGGCCGCGAAATTTCCGGGCAGGGCGCAAAGCGCGCCTCGGGCAGTTAAAAAAAAAATTCAGAAGGTGGGCCCTTGGTAGGAAACCATGCTCTATACAATGTGAAGATCGAGGGGATCGTTTGGACTAGAAGAAAGAGAGATACAGATAACCCAAGCATTTTTGCCCGTGTACGAGATAAGACATATATGTCTACTATCCGGGCGATGACGGTAGAAACATATCACATCTACACTCCTGTTTCAATCGTAGAACAGTCAATATTTGCCCTTGCCTACAACCAGCAGTAAAAAGGGAGTGGTAACACCAAAGTGATAATAGCAACTACCGCAGTACTACCAAAATGTGGCCTTCCATAGTACCATACAAAAAATTAAATACATTATACATGTGGCCTTCAATATTTGATTGTTATTGAAGCGGTTCCAATTATACCCTTACTATCCTCTCCGAGGTCGCAATCCATTCATGCTCTGCAAAACAACCATGCATCGCATTGGAACTGTCAGTCTCACTACAAAATCAGACAAAGACCAGATTAAACCCACATGAACCATGTAAAACACCTTCCTCTCGTGCGACTCGAGACCACAAAGCTCACATTATCAATTCATACGGTAGCAGAAACGTGAACTGAAGATACAACTCACCAAGGATCTCGTCCACAGTGATTCGGGTCCTTGGATCGGCAGAGAGCATGCGAATGATGAGATGCTTGGCTGGTGACGACAGCTCCTGCCACCTCTGGCTGTGGCTGAACCCCCTCCTCTTCGCCTCCACCACCTTCCGCCACACACCCTCTTCACCTGCTGCTCCCTCCTCCCCACTGCTGCTGCACCTGCTGCCTTTTCTGCTGCTGTAAGAGTTGGCAGGTCTATCACGTAGGAACGGAGTCTTCCCACAGAGCATTATGAAGAGAGTAACACCAGCGCTCCACACATCGCACTCCCGGCCGTATGCACCTGAAAACACCTCAGGAGCCATGTACTCTGCCGTCCCCACCACCTCAGAAAGAGGCACACCCGGAGTCAATCTCGCAGCGACTCCAAAGTCAATCAGTTTGATGCTTTCAGGCAATTCTGGGCACATGCTGAACATGGCTCCTGGGACGTCCTCGTTATAAGCAGGGTTGTTCGATATAAGCACGTTTTCGGGTTTGACGTCGCGGTGCACGATGCCACATGAGTGGCAGTGCTGCAAGGCCAGCATGAGCGATCGGAAGATGCGCGCTGCAGAAGGTTCCGAGAGCCTTCCGTGCGAGTCAATGCGGTCAAACAGGTCTCCCCCCTCACAGAGCTCCATCACCACGTGCACGTGCTGGGGGGGGGGAGAGGGGTGGAGGGATGGCATAGGGAAGGGGAGAAGAAAGGGACAAGGATGAGTGGGATTGACAATGCTACGTGCTTTAGATGAGGGGGGGGAAAGTGGAAGGGAATTGGCACGGGTAAAGCTAGAAAATAAGAACCAAAAAATAATAAACAGAGAGTTAATTGGGACGGAAGTTCAAAAGCACATTTTGTACTACATGAGCAAGCTAGCTTTTCACCTTTTTATGAAATACCAAGGATGATATTGTTTGTCTCCGTAGGGAAGCAAAATCTTACCTTGTTTGTTTCCGCAGCCTGCTTGATTCGAATGATGTTGGGGTGACCCTCGAGTTCCTCCATGAACGCCACCTCATTCCGCACTGCCTCCACGTCAGCAACGCTCTGCACAAGGGGACGACAAAATTCGGAGAAAATGTTAGGCCACGGCGAGCCGGGAATCTAATCAAACCAACCAAGGAGCTAAAACCAGAGATTCAGGAGTAGGCGAACACACCAGGCACGCGATTTTTCTGATGGCGTAGTAGACATGTAGGGAGGATGGGTGCGGGGTAAGGAGGGCAGGGCAAGGAGGGCAGGGCAAGGAGGGCAGGGCAAGGAGGGCAGGGCAAGGAGGGCAGGGCAAGGAGGGCAGGGCAAGGAGGGCAGGGCAAGGATGTGAGAGCAGGGAAGATCAGCGCAGCGCCCCTACCTGAATGGCGGATTTTCGGATGCTCTTGCAGGCAGCGATCTCCCCGGTGCTGCGGTGCACGCATCGCCGTATCACACCGTACTGCCCCCTGCCTATCTCTCTCTTCAGCAGAAGCCACTGCTGTCGAATGTCCTCCACTGGCCGCCTAAACACCTCCCCCGCATGTACCTCCCCCACCTCCATCTCTTTTTGCGTGGTCGTCAGTTGCTCGGGCCTGGTTGCGAGGCCACACCGCGAACTCGAAGCCCGTTGGACGGCTGTCAAGTCGTTGACTGGTGGAACTCGGTTGACCACATCAAGAGGGTTGACTGCGTTGACTGCGTTGACCTGCGGGAGTAGGTCAACGGAGGACGAGACGAGCCCCTCAGGAGCATCACGGAACCACTGCTGCAGCAGCGAGCGCCGCTGATGCCGCCTCACTTCCACTCGCACTGCTGGTTTCTCCAAGGGCGCCTCGTCATGCTGCGGCGTCTCCAAGGAACTCAAACTATCTTCGCGCCGCATCCGCGCCGTCTTTAAGAAGCTCCAGCCCTCGCGTCGCATGTGCTGCGGCAGCTGCTGGGATTCGAGCTCTCGCAGACCCGCGGTGCGCGCCTGCACGTTATTAATCACCGCCGCGCCGCACATTAGTACGCACGGGGGTGTCGACGATGACGATGGTGCTTCATCCGCGGCGGCTGATCTCCGCGCGCGGCTACCAGCGCTGCTGGCGGCGGAGGCGGAGGTGGCGGCGGCGGGCGCGGGTGCAGGCGAGAGGCGGCGCGCGGCGCGGCGGGAACGCGGAGAGTGGGAGAGAGAGGGGGGACAGGGCGGAGATGCGGAGAGAGCGGGCGGGGATGCGGAGAGAGCGGGCGGGGATGCGGAGAGAGCGGGCGGGGATGCGGAGAGAGCGGGCGGGGACGCGGGAAATTCAAATGTTGTCGTGGGACTGCCGTGCTGCTGCTGGTAGTACCGACTCTGACGCTGCTGCTGCCGGATCCGATATCCATGATGGCGATGCAGGCGACGGGATGACGATAACGTTACGATATTATTTTCGCCGTGATGGTAACCGGATTCTTCGTCGTTGCGGTCCTGGCTGGCAAGGTGGTGATGATCGTGATGGTACGGGAGGTGGAGGTACCGACTGGTACCGCAAATTGCGGCATTGGCGGCGGCACAGGGACCATCATACCGACTCATAAGAATCAGATCGTCACAAATAGTGGTACTGCTACCGTTAATACTACCCCGGGCCGCTGCCTGGCTGGCTTGCTCTCTGCACTCCGCATCCGTGCGATCGTGTCCTTCGCGGCCCCTCCGGGAATTCCCGCGCACAGCAATCATCTTGCCGTTACAATGGATACTCGGAGGCGTGTCGTCTGAACTGACTGGTAACGTTTTTCTTGATCGTCCGCTTTAAAGCGCGTCCGCTACCGCTCGTAGTACTAGTGCTGCTGGCTCCAAGAAAATTATGGGTCGGGTTTTGCAAGAAGTCCCTCTCAGCACGCGGGGTGCCTCAAGCGGCGAGTTCGATCGCAGCGAGGCGGAAATATACTTTTCGGCTATTAAGCGAAGCGTTAGTGGCTGATCCAGCGAGTAGATGGTCGAGAGAAACGGCAAGCGTGGGTGTTCAAGAGCAAGGCACGGCGAGCTCTTTCGGATTTGCGGGAAAACGGAGAATCAGAGCATGCTTTGAGCTTTGCTCAAGTCGCGCTTTCGTAGACGAGAGAGGAGGATTCATCGGACTCAGCTAAGCCGCTCGGTACGACGAAACTTTCGCCCTTGGAGAACGACCCGCTCGTCTGAGGGTATCTCGGATATGCTTGTGCTAGTGTTGTACTGTGGTAATCTGTCGTAATCTGCTGTGCTGTAGAGCATCGATTCTGTAGTGCTGTCGTCCACGCGATCACCGGGATTGGCGCACGGAAACGCGACGCGGTGCGCGCGGAGCGGCAGCACTGCTGCTCGCCGCTTGGATTGCAACGCCCGCCGTGTTGATAGGCGAGCGCGCGGCGTTGTCGCGACGTTGTGAGCCCATTCTGTGCCAACAACGCGAAGCCGCGACAACTCGCGGGAAACAGCTTGCAAGCCGCGAACCCGCAGTGGAGCCAACGAGGCGAGGAAAGGGGCGAGGGGACATACCTATTAGCGACTGTTCTAGAACCTAGAGATTGAGAGCCACCCAATCCAACGCATTGACATTACGCCTGTCCTGCATCGGTCGTCGTTACGGTACGGACAGACAGATCCATGGACATCTGCAGTAGTTTATGACAAGGCTGCTGTGTCCTTGACTTATTGAGATCGCTCAATTTTGGTGGTTGATTGCAAAGCTTCAGCCAAAAAAGGGAGAGCGCAGTGGAGTTGAAAACGTTTCCGAAATTTTAGGATCGGTACGTGATGTATTTGTCTCCACATTCCACCGAGTTGATTTCGAGGGGGGAAGTGGAGATGACGGGGCAGGGTACTTGGCTTGGGATTGGTTACAGTGGGCAACGCAGGGCGGTTTTGTCAAGAGGGCAGCGATTTGGCGTACTTTGATGGTAACCAACCAGCTTCTTCTGCTTGACATAGAAGCTAGAGTGGAAAAGGGTGGGGTAGCTTCGCAATGGATGGCTCAAAGCTGGGAGAGCGAACTTCGTGACAACGCTGATTCCATTTCGCGATTAAGGGTGAGGGTGCTTGAGGTTCTGCAAAATTCAGCAACTCCGTGACCGAGTCGCGAGTTTTTGCAAGCCGATACCGCCGACACGGATTGGTGGATGGAAAGTGTAGCGACATGCAGGTTACCGAATCAGGAATGTCCCAAGATGCTGACTGGGCACGTGTATCTGCACCACACCACCGAAAAGCATCTCTGCATTGCTGCAGTCTCACCAGCAAGTCCATCCATCCACGCAGGCGGCGGACCTTTTGTCGTCATTGCGCGTCAGCATAGCTCGGGCCACAGACAGGTTGCGCGGGGAAAGTTCCCCCAAGTTCGTGCAGACGTGTCATGGGTAGCTTCGAGCACCTTATTGTGAATGGGCTATATGTGATTCGATATGTCAGAAATATATTTGACAAAATCAAGAGATTTAATTGAGCAAACAAATATCGTAAGTAATCAAAAGTTTCGGAGCGCTCCACATTTTAACCACCCTGACTGAAAATTGTGGAACATTGTTCTTAATGCTATGGTATCTGGCATATAACTCGTAATCAGATTAACAACACCCAGATTTGGCCTTCTCTACAGATGCAGACCACCAGGCACCAGCCACCGAAGCTGGAAACCTTGCCCAGGCAGTGAAGGGACCCTGGTGAGCCCCCTTCTCAGTAACAGTAAATGCACTGCTGTAGCGCGACACAGTCAGCATGGCAGCAGTTGTAGCATCCACAGGTGTCGGCACACCCGTCTGGAAAATTCTCACATCGTCCAGAGAAAATTCCCCCGCTTGTCCCGGAATAGACCCGGAATACGTCGCCGTCTGCCCGTAATTCTCGGGCAGGTCCTCGCCTTCCCCGTCACCCGCCCCTGAGGGCAGCTTCACCGCCCGGACGGTCAAGCTGTAGAATCGAATCGGGCCGACCCGTGCGGCAATGTCTGGATTTTCCACGTCTAGCTCTCGAGCCTCCACCACTCCCCACCCACCCAGACCCACAGAGGCCATGAGGCGGCGGAAATCCTCCAAATAGAGAGCCCCACTGAGGCACTCGCCGAACAGAACCTGCCAGAAACCACATGGCAGGGAGTTGGTAATTGGGAAAACACGTTGTGAAGGGTTCAACCACTCTCCACTTGCCCAGCCCTATCAGAGGCCATGAGGGGGCATATATCCTCCAAGTAGAGAGAATCACCGAGGCACTCTCCAAAGAGAACCTGCTGTGGTTCGGGAGAGTGGGAGATGGAATGAGAGTGAGGGGAGGGACGTGATTGGAGGCCATGAGGCGGCAGAAATCCTCCAAGTAGAGAGCCCCGCTGAGACACTCTTCAAAGAGAACCTGCTGTGGTTCATGTTACTCTTGAGAATTCTCAAAAGTAACATCGAGAGTGTTGGATTGAATAGGAGTGAGGGGAGGGAGGAGATGGGAGGCCATGAGGCGGCAGAAATCCTCCAAGTGGAGAGCCCCGCTGAGACACTCGCAGACTAGGCCTCCCTCCCTACCCCCTAACCCCCGGCCCCCCTGCCCTTCTGCCCCCCTGCCCCGCCTCAACCCCCCCCCACCTCTTTCCCCCACGCCCCCCTGCATCCACTCCTGAGTATCGCCTTGTCCTGTTGCAGGTGCTTGGGGATTCTGCGGTCGGCAAAGACGTCCGAGAAGTAGAGCTCGCCGCTGAGGCACTTGCCTGATAGGCCTGCCCCCCTACCCCCCTGCTCCCCTACCCCCCTGCCCCCCTGCCTTCCTGCTCCCCTACCCCCCTGCTCCCCTGCCCCCCTGCATCCATGCCTCTTCTATTCCTACCTTGTCCTGTTGCAGGTGCTTTGGGATCCTGCGGTCGGCAAAGACGTCCGAGAAGTAGAGCTCGCCGCCCGTCTTAAGCACGCGGGCGATCTCAGCGATCACAGGCACCTTGCTGGGGGCGAGGTTGATGACACAGTTTGACACCACCACGTCGACGGAGCTGTGCAAAACAGGCGGGGGGGGAGGGGCGAAAAGCGGAAAGAGAAAAAGGAGGGGGTGTTGGAAGGGGTTGAGAGTGGGCTCAATGTGGGGCGATCTCAGCAATCACAGGCGTCTTGCTGGGGGCGAGGTTGATGACACAGTTGGACACCACCACGTCCACGGAGCTGATAAGGGAGGGCAATGGGGGGAACAAACAGAGCGGTGGGGGGAGAACAAGGGAGCGAGACGGCATGATGTGTGGGTGACAGGCGTCTTGCAGGGGGTGAGGTTGATGACACAGTTGGACACCACCACGTCCACGGAGCTGTTAGTGGGGCAGCGAATGGTGGGGAGGGCAAGAGAGTAACAAGAATGAGTGTGAAGGCAGGAAGGGTGACTGGCAGGCGCCTTGCTGCCTTGCTGGGGGTGAGGTTGATGACACAGTTGGACACCACCACGCAGACGGAGCTGTGTTTAACGAGGGGGTGAAAGGGGTGAAGGGGATGCAGAGAGACCGGGGGGGATGCATTAAGGTGGGATCGTGAGTTGGCCTTGCTGGGGGCGAGGTTGATTTGATGACATAGGTGGACACAAACACGCCCACAGTACTGATAGGTGAGGTGACGGGGGGAGGAGGGAGGGTTGGGGTTGGGGTGTCAGGGCGGGGGAGGAGGGAGTAAGATGGCATGCCGTGACACGTGCTTGACAGGCGCCTTTCTGGGAGCGGAAGATGATGACGCTGGTTGGACGCGAGAAAATGATGACAGTTGGAAAAAGTGGCTGTCAACCGGTTGTGAAACACGCTGATTGTGTCCAACCGAATCTAACATGCTGAATTTAAGTTTAACAAAGGGGCAGAGGGAGAGGGGAGGCGGATAGTGAGGGGAGTGCGGGGACAAGAGAGGAGAAGGTTGGAGGAAGAGCAAGGTGGTGAGAGTGAGGCGGAGCAGAGCAAGGAGCACTGACGATAGACGTCTGTCGAGATACTCACACATGTTCCCACTCCTCTATGCATCCACCCATCCACTCACCCACCCACCCATCCACCCACCCACCCACCCACCCATCCACCCACTCACCTATACGCCCACCCACCCACCTTTCCCCATTCCCACCCACCTGTCCTCGACATTAGCAGCCCTGAGATCCTCTATAAACCCCTTCCTGAACGACACGTTGGACTTGTCGAAACCGAACTTCTCCCGGTGGTACTCCTCGTGCCTGCGCGCCACTGCCAGCTGCTCGTCTGGGGAGTTGCCGAGAGCAAGGGCGGATGGCGGCAGGCAACAGAGGGAAGAAGGGAGCAAGGTAAATGGGGGGGTGTGCCTCTCAGCGGTGCTCCTCGTGCCTGCGCGCCACTGCCAGCTGCTCGCCTGCGGAATTACAGGAAAGGAGGGTGGGTGCGGGCAGGGCGGGCAGGGGAAGAAGGGAGGAAGACGAAAGAAGAAGACTGCCTCCTCCCTCTTCTTTCTCGCCAGCCTTCTCCTCGTGCTTCCTCCTCGCCCCTGCCAGCTGCTCGTCTGGCGGAAGGGAACGGGGAGGGAAGGGAGGAAGATGAATGCATGAGTGCGCGCCTGCCAGTGATACTCCTCGTGCTTCCTCGCCACTGCCAGCTGCTCGTCTGGCGGAAAGTGGAAAGAGAGGAGGGGGGGGGGGCGGGGGGAGGAGGAAGAAGGCGGGAGGAATGAATGCGGAGACGAGCATCTCGTCTGGGGAATTGCAGGGTGGAAAGAGAGACGGAGCGGACGGGAAGAGGGGAATACTGTCAGCTTTGAGGTAATGCTTTGAGAATGCTTTTTCTAGAATATGTAGAGTTGAGATTGAAAAAAGGAAGACGAGCGGAAGATAGAGGGGTAGTTAGAAATGTTCCCCAGGCACACATTACGCGGCACTAACCTCTCAATTTTGAAAGAATCTCAAGTGTTGTCTTGATTAGAAAGAGTGTGGGTACATATAGGAGATGGGAAGTAGGGAACTAGGTGGGGTACCCTCAGCCTTATTGGCGGACCAATCAGATTGGGTCGACCAACAATTGCTGGGGTAACCAACAATTGTTGGAGGGGACCATTATTGCCCCCCCCCCCCCGTCAATTGCGGTCGAGTTGGGTTTGGGGGCGCCCAACCAAAATTTGGTTGGGTCGCCTTGACCAAAACTGTACACCCACTTTAGGGTGTAACACTTGCACAAATATAAACATACATTATGCTATATTCTAACAAATTTGTCAGCTCGCGTTTTCCCTGGCGCCTCTTCCCCCTAACCCCTCCCTCGTCGCCACCCCTGCTGACCTGTCATGTCGATGCCGATGACCTGGCCTGTGGGCCCCACCAGCTGCGCTGCCACGTAGACGTCCCTCCCTGTTCCGCACCCCAAATCCAGCACCGTGCAGCCCTGCCGAGAGGAGGGAGAGGGGGAGAGGAAGAGAGGGGAATGGAGGGGAGGGGAGGGGACGGGATTGGACGGGAGGGGAGGGGAGGGGAGGGGAGGGGAGGGGAGGGGAGGGGAGGGGAGGGGAGGGGAGGGGAGGGGAGGGGAGGGGAGGGGAGGGGAGGGGAGGGGAGGGGAGGGGAGGGGAGGGGAGGGGAGATGAGAGAGGGGAGGGACCATTAAAGCACACACGTAGATCCAGCACAGTGAATCGCAACACGACGACGGTGTGGAGAGGAAGAGACGTGGAGAAAGGAGTGGGGGCAGGGGGCGGTGGAGGTGGGAAGGAGTGAGGGACTCCCTCCGGCCAGAACGGGCGCTCCGACGGAGAACGGGGGAGCATCTGAGGTACGGTGGAATACAAAAGAGACGTGGTGAAAGGGGGGGGGAGGGGGGAGGGTGTGAGGGGAGAGGGAGGGGGTGGGGGTTGAGGGAGGGGAAGGGAGCCACGGAGAAGGAGGTGGAAAAATGGTAACCTCGGACAAAAAGGTCGAGGAGAGAGACGAGACGAATATTTACATCAATGTACCTTGAGCAGAGGAGGGATGGGCGAGCCACAGCCGTAGAATTTCGACAAGATCTCATCGTGGACGTTGCTGAGCAGGCGGCGAATGTCCGCTCCCAGGCCTCCCTTCACCAGGCACGCTGACGTCTGCAGATCCGTCTGTTGCTGCACCGTCTTCCCGTAATACTCGCTCACGTCAGCATGCGTCACGTCGCTCCCCGCGCCGCCGGTCGCAGCGGCGGGAGACGAGGCGGATTTAGGGCCGCAGCAGCTGCTCTTAGTAGGCTCAGCCGGAGCGGGAACAGTCTTAGGTCCGCAGCATGATGAAGTCGCCGGCTTTGCTTCCGACGAAGCGGAGGAAGCTTTGGGCCCGCAGCACGACGTCGGCTTCGCTACAGTAGCGGTAGTTACCTTGTTACAGCACGACATGGCGAATGATGAGGCGAAAGGGCGGCGGATGAAGGATGTTTGAAGAGAACGAATAAACATTGGTGGAGTTGTAGCCAGCAAGGAAAGAAATGGATCCGCTTGTGTTGTGCTGCTACTTCGGTTCTATTTGAGTTGAGATGTTCCTGCGGGCCTAACCTACCTAGGGCATGTATAGATGGAAGCGCAACGGTAACCAGCTCCACCTGTTGCGCTGGATAAACCGATTGCCCCTGTGGGTTGCGGGCAGGTCACACAAACACCCCTCATGCTGGCAAAAGTTCTGGCTCATACCGATGCTACAGCGATTGACACCCGAAAAACACGCGCACTTCAGGCTGACACGCAAAAAGTGGACATGTCAAAACCACGGACACGATTTAAGTTCAAATTCAATGCACTACCTTGTGTCGTGCTTGCATCCGATGCAGTCTGACAATACACCCAACATTTTGAGAATTCAGACGAAGTAGCTCGGGCTCGTGTGAATAACTGTGGAGGGTTCCAGAAGTGCAAAAATCAAAACGCAATTTCCAGGAATTCAAGATCGGGGAATCTATTTTGGAAGAGATTACATCGATGAGTGGGCATAGATATACGCGCTTTGAACTGCTTTAATTCAAAAACAAACTACTGTCATAAGCTGTTAACGATAGTTCCCTGAATAACGAATACTTAAAACGAAGCTCTAATGACGAGTAAAATATCAAGGAAGGGGACATTAATTTAGAGTTTGAAAGCATGGGAAATTCGGACCGACACTCCTTATGAGGGTTTGGTGGTCACCCGACGTGACATGCGTTATGAATAGTGAAAAATGATTGTGCACTCCTAACCGCACCAAAGCGAAGCACACAACATCGAGGCACGAACGCGAAGAGTTAGAGTTGACTCGAAGCAGCACAGACAGTTGGAGTGGATCTGGACCGTCCGAGCAGACGGCATCGGGCAGCTTCGTAATTGTTCGAGCAGCACGGTTGGGGTTGAATTTGAATAAGGAAATGTACCCCTTAGAGTACATGGATAGCTAGGACGCTTCGTATTCCCCCTATACTACTATTTATATGTTTGTATCTGCATATTCTAATTCATCTCAAAGCATTTTACATTCACTCTGTTTTGAGGTCAAGGTCCACCTGTTAGAAACTACAGGCAGGAATAATGAACTAGGGATGAGCTTGGGTACAAATATGAAACCCTAATGGGGTTGTACCCCATATTGGCTACCCCATTACAGCCTACATATATATATATATCACATATATATTTTCACACACACCCATAGGCAAAGTGGGGGAGAACAAGGGGTTACAAGACCAGTCAAGCAAAGCAACAACAAGCTCAGGGTAGATCACAATGTCACCACACTTTCTGAGCACAAGCAAAGGCCAGAAGGCCAGTTCACATGCAGATCTATATAGAACAATACAAGCAGTACAGTGATCACAGCCTAGCAAGTGTAAGCATGCAAGGATATATATAGATCACAGTACAAACAAAGTCAAGCCGTAAGCAAGTGAGAAAACGTGGACACAAGGCCTAACGCAGTGCAGTGACGCTGATAATCACCAGGTGGAAGTGCCTTGGTGAATATATCAGCAGTGTTGGCCTTCGAGTCCACATACACAAGCCGAAGCTGACCACGCTGCTGCAGCTCTCGAGCAAGAAAGTACCGGAGAGCAATGTGCTTCGTTCTGTGCTCCAGCTTGCGCTCCTGACACAAGGCAAGGGCTGCCTTGTTGTCGCCGTACAGAACTGGAGGAGAACAAGGCCGCTCACCCAAGTCAGTCAGCAGGTAGGTGAGCCAGCGTAACTCCTATGCAGCCATGGCCGTGGCGTAGATCTCAGCCTCACAACTGGAGCTGAGAACTGAAGAAGAGCGTGTAGAACGCCAAGAGACAGAACCAGATCCAAGGCTGAAAGTGTAACCCTGCGACGACCGCTGCGCAATAGTCTGGTCATCAACCCAGGAGGCGTCTGAGTGTCCAGTGATGACAACTGGGCCCCGTTCTCCAAGCCCTAGCCCCATGCCTGATGTCCTGCACAAGTCGAGCAGCACCCTCTTAACAGCCTTCCAGTGCTCTCGCCTGTGTCTCCCAGGCACGACGTAGCGAACTAGGATGCTAAGAGGGTACGCAAGGTCAGGTCGAGTGCAGGTCATCACGTACATGAGGCAGCCCACAAGCTCTAGGTACGGGCCACTCGCGTCTACGGACTCGTCCGAAGGTGGAGCTGAGAGCGAGTGGCTGGTACACAGAAGAGTGGACAGTGGTGAGGAGAACTGGAAGCCGAAGCGCTGAAGAACCTGCTGCACCATGTGTGACTGAGTCAGGGTGATGGTGCGGCGTGCTCTGTCCCGGATGATCTGCAAGCCAAGGTAACTGCGCAGTTCACCCAGGTCTGTGCACGTGTGTCTCTTCTGCAGCTCCGACTTCACAAGAGCAAGTGCCTCAGTGTCAGCAGTAGCAAAGACCAAGTCGTCGACGTACACGAGGATGTAGAACAGCGGCAGCGACGAGTTTGTGCGCAGGAACCGTGACGGGTGTGCAGTGGAAGGAGCAAACCCAAGAGCCGCAAGTGTCGTCCTCAGTGTGTCGTGCCACTCGCGCGGTGCCTGGCGGAGACCGTAGACTGGCCGTCGGAGGCTCCACTGGGTACCAGGCGGGAACGACCCAGTGAAGCCAGGAGGACGGCGCAACCAGATCTCCTCGTGTAGGCTGCCCTGCAAGAAAGCTGTGCTGAAGTCAAGAGAGTGAAGCTCGTAGTCATGCTGAGCAGCAACGTGCAGTAGCACCCGAAGAGTGGTCATCTTCGGGGTAGGGGAGAAGGTCTGGAAGAAGTCGACTCCCTGTCGCTGACTGAAGCCTCGAGCAACGTAACGAGCCTTGAAGACAGGCGGAGAACCCAGCGGGCGACTGCTTCACCCTGAAAATACACTTGCCATCGACGATGTTCGCCCCGGGAGGGGGAACTGCGTCGACGTAGGTGCCTGTGGACTTCGAGGATGCCATCTCTGCGTCCATGGCTGTCTGCCACTGAGAGGAGTAGGGACCCGAGACCGCCTCTGTGTAAGAGCGGGGGGTAGGGATGTCAAGTGCATCCGGGTCTCCCTCAGGGGCAAGCAGCCAGGCCGTGAGATGAGGTACAGCAGCCGCAAGATAGTCAAAGTCCCTTGCCTGTCCTCAAGGACGTCCGTGCCAAGAGCACACTCACCCCCGACGGATGGAGGACAGACAGACTCAGACTCAGCAACTAGACCGGCAGTCTAGACGACAGGCAGCAGCAAAGTCAACAAGCTCAGTGACCAAGGCAGACGCAGAGGCAAACTCAAAGGACGGCTCAGTGACAACAGTAGCTAACAGACGTGTGACAATAGGGTGGGCAGCACGAAACTGGTCAAGCTCAGGGTCCGGAACGTCAGGCAGAGAGGACGCAGGGGGAGACAGCAGAGGAACACGCTGCGGAGTAGAAGGACGTCTGACGACAAGGTGCGCGCTGCGGACAGCCGGCTGACGCAGACTAGGAACACTACGACCGGAACAGCCAGGATGGACAGGCGAGACAGGACGCGACTAAGGCCCACGACGCACTGTAGGACCTCTTGTCTGCTCAGAGTAAGGAGAAGGAGCAGGCAGCGGTGAGCCAGGCTGTAACGAAAGACCAGTAGAAGACGGGAGGCTAAGAACCTGACGAAGTGCAGAGTCAGGCGATGGCGGAGACGACTGAGACGGCGGAGGGAAGAACAGTCTCGGCTGCGCCGCGCCACCAGTACTAGCAGCGCCAGTATCTCCAGTAGCGCCAGCACCCCCAGTAACTCCAGAACTTCCAGCACCAGCTCCACCAGCAGCAGCACCCCCAGAACCGGCACCTCCAGTCCTAGGGCCTCCAGTCGCAGCGTCTCCAGCAGCAGCACCCCCAGACACAGCACCTCCAGTCTCAACAGCTCCAGTCGTGCCAGGACGAGCACCTCAGGGACCAGCAACTCCAGCACCTCCAGTAGACAAAGTACCAGCACCACTCCCAGCTCCAGTGGCGTCAGCAGAAGCACCTCCAGCGGCAGAGCCCCGAGCTCCAGTAGCGCGACCCTGACGGCGACCGTACCAGTCGTGCAGCTGCTGCGAGGTGAGAGGCACACGCGGACGAAGGCGGCCACTCCAAGGAGACCGCGCACCAGAAGGCTCAGTACCCTCAGGCGCCGCACCCCCAGACTCAGCACCCCCAGACTCCTCACGCACAGGCTCAGCACCCCCAGACTCAGCACCCCCAGACTCCTCACGCTCAGGCTCTGCACCCCCAGGCTCAGCACCCCCAGGCTCCGCACCCCCAGGCTCAGCACCCCCAGGCTCCGCACCCCCAGGCTCCGCACCCCCAGGCTCCGCACCCCCAGGCTCAGCACCCCCAGGCTCCGCACCCCCAGGCTCAGCACTCTCAGAAGCAGCACCCCGACCAGGACCACTCTCAGCAGGACTTGAGTCACCAGTGACCTCAACCGACGCAGGCAGGGGTGGAGGGTCTACCTGAGACACACCTGAAGGAGCAGGACCGGGAGCGGGGAGGGGGTCGACCTGGTGTACCTGGAGCGAGGAAGAGCGACGGGGGGGGGGGGGAGAGGGGCAGTGCGGTAGGGGAAGAGACGGTAAAAGGGCATCGACTCGTCGAACGTGATGTCCTGAGAGGGAAAGACACGGCGCGAGGTGGGGTGGTAGAACTGCCAACCAGGCGCGTCTGGGACAAAGCCAAGGAAGACACAGGGAAGAGAGCGGGCGGAGAACTTGTCCGCGGTGGTATTGCGGACAAAGGCACGAGAGCCCCAGACCCGGAACACCGACGCATCGCCAACCTCCCCTGTCCATAGTAGTGTGGGCAAGGTCTCCAACAAGGAGACACGGGGCCAGAGGTTGAGCTGATGCGCGGCGTAGCTGATCGCAAACGGCCACATAAAATGGGGAGCAGCCGCATGGACCATGGAGGTACGAGCGACCTCCATGACCAAGCCAATGCGG